ACTCTGTTATAACTCTGTATTTGTAGCCCCCGGCTATTCACTGCTATTATAGCTTCTTCTTCCCTCTGACTCTCTGCTTCATCTACTGTAACCTCCTCCCTGCAGACTCGCTGCTACCTCTATGCAGACTCCCGCTGCTACCCCTATGTGCAGACCCTCTGGCTGCTACCGTATGCAGACCCGCTGCTGACTCTGTATGCAGCCCCGCTGCTGACTCTCTGTGCAGCCCCGCTGCTGACTGCAGCCTCCTCGCTGCTTCGGGTCGGTCACCGCTGGCCAACGGTGCCGATCCTCGCTCCCCCGTGTTCGTGGCGATCTCGCCACCCTCCGCTTCGCCCTTCGTGGCCTCTCTCTGTTCCTGGTTCCCCGTCACTCCCTATCCTCTTCCGGTTCCCCTCCTTCTATAGCTCAACCCCTCTCCCCCCACGTGACCTAACTCCTCCCCTCATGACGGCACCTCCGGAGGGCCGTTTACGCCCGCATTACACCTGTATAAAAGACACCTGTTCACAGGAGAGTTTTAGAAGGTTATGGGTTTAGAGGTTTTGATGTTTAGGGGATTAGGGGTTTATAAGGTGAGGGGTTTAGTGGGTTAGGGTTTTACAGGTTTAGGGGTTTAGACAGTTTGGGGTTTGTAAGGTTAAGGGTTTAGGCAGTTAAGAGTGTTGGGGGTTTATGGGTTGCCGTTTTATAGGGTGAGGTGTTTAGACGGTTGGGGTCTTAAGGGGAAAGTCCTTCAGAGGATTTGGTGTTTAGAGGGTTAGAGTTTAGAACGTTTTGAGTTTAGAGGGTTTAGAGAGTTACGTGTTTAGAGGTTTATGGGTTTTAGAGGGTTAGGGGTTTAGAGAGTTACGTGTTTAGAGGTTTTTTGTGTTTCGATTGTTGCATGTTGAATGGTTTAGATGGTTAGTAGTTGAGGTTATAAGGGTATGTGTTTAGGGGTTTAGAGGTATCGGGGTTTCAAGGGTTAGTGATTTACAGTGTTACGGGTTTAGTGGTTTGAGAGTTGAGGGTTTAACACGTAGACTTTCACAACTAATATTGTCCATAATAAAGTTTTTTTTTTGTTTAGTCTCCAACACTAAATGGCACTTTTTGTTGATGTGACAAATTTTACTAATTGGCTGTTTCAGGTGGTGGTTGGTTTAACGACACGTTTATATTTACATAATCTAACAAAAAAAACCTTTATGGGTTTAGAGGGTTCCGGGTGTAGTGGATTATGTGTTTAGAGGGTTACCATTTTAGGGGCATAGGTGTTTTAAGGGTTAGGTGTCTAGAGGGTTCGTTCTTTAGAGGGTTGGGGTTTAAATGTGTTGGGATTAGGTTACAGATTTAGGGTTTTAGAACGTTAGGGGTTTGAGGGTTAGGGTTTTAGAGGTTGAGGATTTAGGAGGTTATGAGTTCAGAGGGTTAGGGGTCTAGAAGGTTAGTTCTTTAGAGGGTAGTGGTTTAGATTGGTTGGTATTTAGAATGTTAAGGATTTAGGGTTTTAGAAGGTTAGGGTTTCAAGGTTTAGAGGGTTAGGGATTCAGAGGGTTTAGAAGTTTTGGTTTTTAATGGCTTAGACGGTTAGAGTTAAAAGAATAAGGGGTTTAGAGAGTGAGGGTTTTGGTGGGTTAGGGTTTTAAGGGTAAATGGGTTGAGGGTTAGGGGTATAGGAATTTAGAGGGTTAGGGGTTGAGATGGTTAGTGTTTTGGTGGTTTAGAGTTTAAGCTTTTAGAGGGCGAGAGGTTTAAAGATTAGGGTTGTAAGGGTAAATGGGTTGAGAGGGTTAGCGGTTTAGATGGTTATGGATTTAGATAGTTAGGGGTTTAGAGGGTTTTAATTGTTCGAGGTTTAGTGGTTAAGGTCTCTGTGCGAGTCCAACATGTTTGTATGAGTCTATGGTAAGATAAAAAGAGTTCAGTTTAATTTGTATATTTCGAAACAATTTGTTTACCTTTCCTGTGATGTTTTTGTATCGTATTTTTGTTGTTATTTTCTGACCCACAAGATTGGACGTCTGTGAAAACAGATCGTTATAGCTCATCAGATGCATCCAGTATAAATAAATATTCAAATTCTAATTCTATTGACCTCTGTGCGAATCTATGGATTTCTGTGTGAGTTTTTGGGCCTTTGAGTGTATGGATCTCTGTGTGAGGCTATGGGTCTCTGTGCACGTATATCGGTCTCTGTGAGTATGGGGTCGCTGTGTGAGTCTGAGTGTCTGTAGGAATGTATGGGTCTCTGTTGGGGTCTATGGGTTTCTGGGTATGGTTGTTTGTGCGAGTCTTACATGCACAAATTTAACTTAAAATGGCCATTGAGGGTTGCGGAATCCAAGTTGAATATTAAGTTCCCTGCAGTGCAAGCCAGCTCTCTAGTCGTGTCATCAAACAGCCCCTTTAATTCTTTATAATAATAAAATAGACTTAGTCCAGGAAATCCACACTGAGTCACAGTCAGGTCCTGAATTGTTTTTTTACATTTTCGACGAATGAATGATGAGTTCTTACACAAGTGGAGGGGGGGAATTCGAGAGACTTGCACCGTTGTTTCAACTGCCATAGAAACAAACTGGTGACCTTAGGATCATCGCAAATCCAGTGTGCTAACCATTACACTGTGGCAAATCACCCACACGCTCACTCACCGAGCTACACGCTCACCTGTACACACATTCACTCAGGACCGCAGCTCACAACACTTCTCTTTCTGCTTCTTCTCTTTTACTGACCCCATGCATAAAACATCAAGGTGCCTTACAATGGGGGGGGGGGGGTAAGAAGTGGCTAAGTTAAAATTCGAGATGCTTTCTTAAAAGATAAATATTTTTAGGGGGGACCTGAAGGCCCAAACTGAACTAGACTCCCTGACCAACTTTGACAGAGTTCCAAAGTCCAATGGCCACCGAAGCAAAATCCCGGTCGCCCATGGACCACTTTGAGCTTTCTTCTCGCGATACAGAGATCTAAATCAGCGATTCTGATGATGTAATTTACATGAAAGTGACGCTTCACAGTGGACGTTACAATTCCCGCTGATGGCATTACTACTATAATAGCCCAGAAATGTGTGTAATGCACGTGACGTCACTCCACATACCCCCTCCCCCGTCATTAATAATAAAATAATCATGAGCGGGTGGATTTTTATACTCACGCGGAAGGCCGAGTGGAAAGATAGTTTTTTCGCAAAGTTGCTTCAAATATGACGTTTCTTTACAGAAAGTAAAAAATAAATATACGCAGCAGTGCTACATCCGTACGTGACGTCACTGCAAAAGAGACACCCCCCCCTCATTCATAATCATGAGCGGGTGGATTTTTACATTCCCGCAGGTTGATTGGAAATAATTTGTTTTACGCAAATTAACTTTAAATTTAACGTTTCTTTATTGAAATGTAATCAAATCAATATTTCTACGCAGCAACAAAGTGTATTTGGTGTCTTTATTTATTTCTTCAGCACTTGAAACAAAAGGTACGTCTAATTTTTGCTTCTAAATTATTATAAAAGTATCCTATAGCCCGTCCAAGGACGGGTGTATTGCAGTTAATCTGAAATATTCAATCGAAAATAAAGACCCGCTCATGATTATTAATGAGGGGGTGGGGCCAGGGTCCACATGAGTGACGTCATCATTCCATGATTATTGATGAAGGGGGGGGAGCTCCATGTGGAGTGACGGAATCCGCTCATGATTATTGATCAGGGGGGAGAACTCCATGTGGAATGACATCATCCACTCTTGATTATTAATGAGGGGGTGGGTGGCGTGGTCCACATCAGTGACGTCATCCGCTCATGATTATTAATTAGGGAGTTTGTGTCCCGCGCGTGACGTCACTTCACATGCCGCACCCCCGTCCTTAAGGTAGAGCAGAATTATTATTTGTTGCAAATTCGCTTTAAGTTTCACGTTTCTTTATTTAAAATGAATCTAATAAATAATTCTACGCGGCAACAAATTGGATTTGGGGTCTATATTTTTTCCTAAGATAAGTCTAATTTATGCTTCTACATTTTGGTTAAATAGACATTTCTCGGTGATTTTCCAGATATTGTATTGCAATCCAATTTATTTGCACCCCAGCGACCGAAAGCAGAAAATAATCAAGTATCAGAGCAGTGAATTAGAACAAATTGAAGGTCAGTTATATACAGTGCTACAGTGAAATGCAGTGAAGTGTTTTATGACATAATTTCGTGCAAGATTCACTGCCATTCAATTAACACAAGATACAATTATACTCTGCTAATTTTTTTCGTAATATTACAGCTTCCGTCCTAGGATGGGCAAAGAAGCTAGTTTGATAAGAGTAGGCCAATGTGTGTTGCTGTCACGGTTCAAATTTTCCAAATTCACAAATGACCGACAAATTCCTCAATTGGCATTCCACAAAGCAACATCACAACATGTAGCTACTGCAGACTACTGTATGTGCTGTACTGCGCCTTCGTGATAGCCTTGAGCTGTAAGCCTTGCGATTTTACACCTCCCCCTTTTATATCGTTTAGAAAATACGTTGTCACTTCATTATCAACACCACCGCTACCCGACTAGCATTGCCTCAACCCACACTCATGTCGCTGACAGCATCGTCTGCCCTTTCTCGTAACTGTCGCCTCTCAACCTTCACCTCCACCTAACCCTGTACACAAACTACTTTGCATCGCGCATAAAGAAATGTTCTGTACTATGGAGTACAATATAGTAATTACGCATGATATTTTAGTGATTTTATTTTCATAATGTACTGCTAATAATGTTTTAACGTTTACTGCCGAAACTAGTATTGAGTGTAGTATTTTTAGTAATTGAATGTAATGTTGCGGATACGTCTAGGATGAAGATGCACGCATTAACACGGCTTCAGCATTGTTTAGTCCTCGTGGCAAAATTGCGTTGATTTACGTCATTTCGGTATTCGTTGTCGCACATTTAAGGAAAGCATCCCCGACATAAACCGGGGTATTACTGTCAACTAAATTATTATTATTCAAGACTTACCACCTCACGTGTAGGTCGTCGCGATCGCATGCTAGAAGCTTGCACATTTGCCTGTTTCTCATTACGAACGTGTCCCAAGGCCTTGTTCAGATCACCTTGAGTGTGGGCCAAGGCAACTGCGTGCACGGACAGTGACCCACACTCGGCGCGGAGACATGCCACCACCCCACGCACCTCGCGGCTGTACAGGTACATGTGGCGCACACTCACATTCACCTCCACCTGTCAGGAGGACAGAAACAAGAGTTAGGGACAAGAACATTTTTATTATTGTTACACTTCCTGACCCAGAAAATCCTAAGTCTCAAGAATATTTTTAAAGAGGGTCATGCCATTTTTTTGGCAGCAGGAGGGGATGATGATTGCATGTGTCATCCGAATTCAGTAATTTTGCAAGTAATTTCCAGCATTGGGATAGATGAGCAATACATGTTCAATTGGAAGGGGTTTTTTATTTTATGGGAGGAAATCCATGTGTAGTGAGTCCAACTGAGTTGCAGAAGTTCTTCTTCAGAGGCAACACAGTGCATCGCACGCCGTGCTCTGCTAGAGCCGGCATCACTCTGCAACACACACGATGCTGTCTGGCACCATACAGTTACATCCCCAATGTCACTCACTACACATGTGTAGAGTAGTATGACGACATGACATCATGAGCGCTGTGAGGCGCAATGACGTCATGTCACGGGAAATACTTAAGGGGGACCCCGTGGCGAAAGCGGGGTCGTTGTGGGAGCCCGGGATGGTGAGCGTCTTAAGGTCTCTCCTGCTCGTGACCGGACGGTGTTGGCTGACCCCCCGTCCGGGTTCTACGAGTAGGGGGTAGGGCTCAGAGAAGTCTGCAAGAGCCGGTTAAGATTACGTGGGGTGCTGCTCTCCTCGGTCGGGTGGTGTTGGATAAGCCCCCATCCCAACTCGAGTGAGAGGCCAAGAGATAGCCCAGGCTAGGAATAGATAGAGCCTGACGTCCGCGTCAAGGACTGAGTGTAGGGACACCTACCTCTGGTGTGTTGTGTTACCTCTGTGTTAATAAACTGGCGCAAGCCCTTACTAAGAGTTCAGTCTACGAGTCGTCCATGTACAGCAGGTGGAGAACATACACACTCCTCAATTAAGCCCACAAATCAACTATGCATCATAACGCTGGCCGTGGAAACCTAAGTTTATGAATAAAATAATTGACGAGGCTCAGCGGTAGTGCATTTGCCACTTGTTGCAGAGGTTTGCGGTTCTATTCCGACAGGCCGTCCTGGTTAATACTAAGATGTACGAGCCGTAAAATAAACGCCATCGGCTTCACAGGGGACATCGAATATCCCGTTTAACATGTAGGCTTTCACGACGAATATCATCCATAAGAGGTTTGTTTTGTTAGATCGTGTAAATATATGTGTCGTTAAAATCCACCACCACCCGACACAGCCAACTAGTAAGGGTTGTAATGTAAACAGAACATGCCAATTTGTCACTAGTACAGCACACTGGTGTGTTGGAGAGCCAAGCCACAACATTTACAATCTGAGTACGATGTTTTGCCAGTATTACAACTAGCTTCATCAGGCGACAGACAGATTTGTGGAGAAGTCCACCTGTTTTGTTCCTTATATAGAGGCGTAGATGTGGTGATCACACTTCACGCTCTTGCGTAAAGTGGAGGGGGGGCGATTAATGAGTCAACGCACATTATGCATGTGCATTATACGAGCCCTTTAATCTTGTCCTTCCAGTCCATTGTGTGTATTAAAATAGCCGTATCAATGACAATACTATATTCTATCAAAAAAATATATATATATATTTTGAAACAATCTTTTTTATATGTTATGTTTCGGCTTGGGTCTAATTGTCAACGCTCAACTTACGTAGGCTGTAATTGACCACGGTCCCTTACATTATGGCAAGCCTTGGGGCCACTTCCTGGAGTTGTGGAGTTCTGCCATTACTCATACGGTACATTTCATTAAAGCGTGTTTAAAAAAAAGTATTTTAAAATATTACTTATTCAAAAGAAGTTTTAGCATCTGTATTATTAGTGCTGTTACCAATACCTCAATGAAGCCCTCATATATTGCTCATACATGTGCAATAATACAGGTCGACGACAAGCGACTGTGTTCATTCAGACGCTGTCTCCCCGACAGACCTGTTCTTCACCTGAGGACGGCTGCTTGCGTTGTGGCCGAAACGTCGTGAAAATTGTATTTTATTATGTTTTATTTTTATTATTTTATTATTTCCCTTCTACGTGACTTTACCGAAAGAACCAAAAAAGAAGCGACTGTGTCTCCGTCTGTTTATTTCTTCGTTATATGGACAGCTCGCGTTCTGCTCTCTCGGACGTTCCGCGGTGCGTCGCGTGAGCTGGCGTCCCGCTTCCCCGCTCCCGCGCACCGCTGGCAGACGGCGCGCTGGGAGCCGTCTCCGCGTCGCCACGTGGCCGATGGCTCATGGAGACCCGCGACGTGGTCCAGCTTCCAGCTCTCACCAACTGACCTCGAGCCCCTTCCGGCTCTCCATTATATCCCCTTCCCGCGTCACCCAGACTCTGCCCTTCACCACACCCCTTGAGAACTTTCCAGATAATACCACCCCCTAGCGCCCGCGGGCTCCACCCTTGAACCCTTCCCCCGATGGCTCGTGTCGCCTGGATGGGTTAGGGGCTGGGGCGGCGAAGCCCCAGCCTACGCTCGCATTACACATGTAAGAATTAAAGCTGTTGGGAATGCATCCCCATATATACAATTGTCTAATGAACTCCTTTATGCGCCGATTTGATTAGTGGCCACTTCTCCAGCATACACATTTTGAGCGCTAAGCAAGGTCTGCCTGTACAATAATTTTCACTATTATTATTCAAGCACACAAATACCTCTCTAGACGTGGGCAGCATGGCTCGACCTCTGGTCTTGCTCCGTGAATTGCCGGCATTCTCGCAGACGCCCCATGCCTCACTGCATGCAGCTAAAGACATGGCTGTACTCTCCAATTGCTGTCAAATGAGAAGAGAGTTTAAGACACCATGAAGCACTTTTCTTGACACTGCAACACCACCACACCATCTTGACTAGTTTTACCGTGTCAATGACCACATATGCCAATGCAATTTATATACAGTGAGGGAACAAAGTATTTGATCCCCTGCTGATTTTGTATGTTTGCCCACTGACAAAGAAATGATCAGTCTATAATTTTAATGGTAGGTTTATTTGAACAGTGAGAGACAGAATAACAACAACAAAATCCAGAAAAAACGCATGTCAAAAATTTTATAAATTGATTTGCATTTCAATGAGGGAAATAAGTATTTGACCCCCTCTCAATCAGAAAGATTTCTGGATCCCAGGTGTCTTTTATATAGGTAACAAGCTGAGATTAGGAGCACACTCTTAAAGGGAGTGCTCCTAATCTGAGCTTGTTACCTGTATAAAAGACACCTGTTCACAGAAGCAATCAATCAATCAGATTCCAAACTCTCCACCATGGCCAAGACCAAAGAGCTCTCCAAGAATGTCAGGGACAAGATTGTAGACCTACACAAGGCTGGAATGGGCTACAAGTCCATCGCCAAGCAGCTTGGTGAGAAGGTGACAACAGTTGGTGCGATTATTCGCAAATGTAAGAAACACAAAAAAACTGTCAATCTCCCTCGGCCTGGGGCTCCATGCAAATCTCACCTCGTGGAGTTGCAATGATCATGAGAACGGTGAGGAATCCGCCCAGAAATACACGGGAGAATCTTGTCAATTATCTCAAGGCAACTGGGACCATAGACACCAAGAAAACAGTTGGTAACACAGTACGCCGTAAAGGACTGAAATCCTGCAGCGCCCGCAAGATCCCTCTGCTCAAGAAAGCACATATACATGCCCGTCTGAAGTTTGTCAATGATTCAGAGGACAACTGGGTGAAAGTGTTGTGGTCAGATGAGACCAAAATGGAGCTCTTTGGCATCAACTCAACTCCTGTGTTTGGAGGAGGAGGAATGCTGCCTATGACCCCAAGAACACCATCCCCACCGTCAAACATGGAGGTGGAAACATTATGCTTTGGGGGTGTTTTTCTGCTAAGGGGACAGGACAACTTCACTGCATCAAAGGGACGATGGACGGGGCCATGTACCGTCAAATCTTGGGTGAAAACCTCCTTCCCTCAGCCAGGGCATTGAAAATGGGTCGTGGATGGGTATTCCAGCATGACAATGACCCAAAACACACGGCCAAGGTAACAAAGGAGTGGCTCAAGAAGAAGCACATTCAGGTCCTGGAGTGGCCTAGTCAGTCTCCAGACCGTAATCCAATAGAAAATCTGTGGAGGGAGCTGAAGGTTCGAGTTGCCAAACGTCAGCCTCGAAACCTTAATGACTTGGAGAAGATCTGCAAAGAGGAGTGGGACAAAATCCCTCCTGAGATGTGTGCAAACCTGGTGGTCAACTACAAGAAACGTCTGACCTCTGTGATTGCCAACAAGGGTTTTGCCACCAAGTACTAAGTCATGTTTTTCAGAGGGGTCAAATACTTATTTCCCTCGTTGAAATGCAAATCAATTTATAAAATTTTTGACATGCGTTTTTTCTGGATTTTGTTGTTGTTATTCTGTCTCTCACTGTTCAAATAAACCTACCATAAAATTATAGACTGATCATTTCTTTGTCAGTGGGCAAACGTACAAAATCAGCAGGGGATCAAATACTTTTTTCCCTCACTGTATGTAAAACTGCTCAATTATTTACAACTAGCCTTTAGCCCGTCCAAGGACGGGTGTATTGCAGTTAATCTGAAACTTGCAAGCAAAAAGCAGACCGCGACGTGATATTCATTGCATTAATGCGTGTGCAATTTGTAAGGGCGCAGTGACACAGACCTATTTCATTTTAAGGTTATAATCCCTTGTTCATCATGACGTCCTTTTTACTTTGATGTCTCAATAGCATTACGGAGATTGCTTGACTTGAGGGTTTTGCCTTTGTAGTGAGGTTTGTAAGTTAACGCTGAGGAGGGGGGAGGAGGCACCTCGGCCCCCCATGTGGAGTGACGTCAGCCGCTAATTATTATGAATGGTGGGAGGTGTCCATTTGGAGGACGTCACCTTATGATTATTAATTAGGGGGGCTGTTCGATGTGGAGTGAGTGGCCAGAGGTGTGGACTCGAGTCATGTGACTTGGACTCGAGTCAGACTCGAGTCATGAATTTGATGACTTCAGACTCGACTCGACAAAATGTACAAAGACTTGCAACTCGACTTGGACTTTAACATCAATGACTCGTGACTTCACTTGGACTTGCGCCTTTTGACTCGAGAAGACTTGCTACTTCCCATGAAAACTGGGGGAAAAAATGTTCACATGGCCGCGCCGCTCTCAGTTTATCTGCATTTGTGAAAAAAATGTGCACCACCTGTATGCATGCAGAGAGCACGCGCGCTGCCTGCACGACATCCAATCACTGTAGTCCCACGTTGTTTTGATTGGACAGCATCTAAGCAGGCACATTGCAAGACAACCAATGAAGCGCAACAAGCAACAATGCGCCAGTTGGCAAAATGATACCGAAGATAGTTTCGTTTGGCTATAAAAATTACGATGTAGTCGACAAAAAACGAGTTGCAATTTGCAAAACATGCGGGTCGAAGATTACAGACGGTGCTGCCACAACGTCTAACTTTGTTCGACACCTGAAGTTGCACAAAGAAAGGTAAGTTTTGAACGAATGCTAAGCACCTTATCGGATGTACCGTAACTTACTAGCTGCTGCATATTTACTGTATCAACGAGACAGTAAACGCACGTCTCCCTTGCTGGTTAATGCTTACAAAAATAGGGATTTTTGAACCCCGATTATATGAGGTACATGAGTGTAGCACACTCAGATGGAAAACCTCTTCAACATCATGTCAACGTCCGTTTTAAAGTATCATTTCTACCTTGCTGCTAGACGGATAAACACAAATGTATATCTCAGTCTCTCCAACACACATGAGACAAAAACAGGCCTTCCAGTTTTACTCTTTCAATCGTTCAGTTTCAGAGTGGCTGGTGTGCTGCCTCATTGAGGTCGTTTATGTAATTTTGGTTAATCACAACTAAGCTGAACTGTCGCTGAAGACATAAACTATCACAATTAAACAATGAATGAGGCAGCAGTAGACCTGCAATTGCTGTGTGATGCAGCAAGGCACCATGGAATCTGGTGTGCAGGAGAGAGTGAACTATAAAGCAGGGGTTCCCAAACTTTACCATGACAAGGCCCCCCATATACCAGTAGATTCCAGCCAAGGCCCCCCTGACATGGGCCGTGCCACACTCTTTTTTCTGTGCACCTCCTTTCACAACTCGATGGAGTTGGTGCATCCCTAAACCCATCCAAGTACAACAGGAAACATAGTAAGACATATACACTGTAAAGAGGAAAATGATGACACAGTCACAGAAGATCCACCATTAGCCTTCCCTTTTCATATCATGCCCAAACAGCAGGCAGCGCATGGACATAGCGTGCTACCGTAGTCTAGGTCTGTGAGGCAGCGCACCACTGGGATATATACAGTATATAATAAATAATAACGATTATAGTAGTAATGTTCAGAGATGCAATAGATTATTATAGTGGAGTTCTTAACTAATGGGGATATTGTTTAGCTTATTTTTGGTTTAATTTGGTTTATTTTACTTATTTAATTTATTCAATTATTTTGTTTTGCTATACTTTTCATGCCAACTTGCCATGGCCCCCCTAGCACCCCCTCGCGGCACCCAGGGGTCCCCGTCCCCACTTTGAAAACCACTGCTATAAAGCATATGACTTCAGTTTCTTGAGGGAAAGGGCTTTCTTATGACTTTTGAAGCAGTGAAAATATTCTTAATATTGCATACACTGAAACTGAAATGTATTATCGTATACCGTAGTGTACAATAGACAATGAATATTAACACAACAACATTGATATGAGTAAAGAGTAGTTTCAAATACAACATGTGTGGCTATAAGGGATTTTCTGACATCTGTTTCATATTCTTTTCTGTTACAGGTATGAAGAATACCAGATGAACAAAAGCATCGTAGATGAACCACAACAGCCTTCAATCTCACAATTCCTGGACACTCGTGTAGGGCGTTACAGCATGAGCCACCCACAGCAGAAGGCCATCTCCAATGCGATACTGTCTGACTTGATTATTGATTGCAATTTTCCTCTATCTATTGTGGAAAATAAGAGCTTTCGTCACTTTCTGGCTGTGCTGGACAGCAAGTATACCCCAGTCTGTCGCCGAACGCTGACCACAAAAACAGAGAGCCTTGCTGAGGAGAGACGTTCAAAGTTAAAAACTCAATTGAGCAACACTGACCATGTTTCAGTCACTGTGGACATTTGGTCTGATCGAAAGATGAGGGGATTCCTTGGTGTCACTGTGCACTGGATGGAGAGAGATGCAGAGAGGGTACAGCTAAAGACAAATCTCTTGGCCTGCAACCGCTTCAAAGGCTCTCACACAGCGGAGCGCATCTGTGACCAATTTGAGGCAATATGTGATGAATACAACATCAAAGCTAAATTGGACTATATCATTAGTGACAATGCTGCTAACATGCGCAAGGCATTTACGGTCTGCTTCCCCAGCGAACAGGAGGAAGATGATGATGCTGGAGATAATCTTGATGATCCTGAGCTATGGCATGACTTAACCCTAGAAGACCAGCAAACCGTCGATGCTGCTATGGCAAAGAAACAGCGCCTGCAGTGTTTTGCACACACATTGCAGCTGGTGGTGGGAGACGGTTTGAAAGAAACAAAAGCGGCATGTCCTTCTCTCTCCAAGTTATCAAAACTTAGCTCCCTGCTCCACACAAGCACAACGTTTAAAGACATATTCGATGGTGAATTTGGGGAGCACAGAGGCATCCCTGCTGCAGTGAGCACGAGGTGGAATTCTACACTGCGGCAGGTGAAAGCAGTCCTTCATTGTGATCAGCAAAAGCTCTGCGCAGTTCTTGAGAAGGCCGGGCATAAAGAACTGTCATTCACACTACGAGAGTGGAATCTGCTGAAGGAGTTGGTGGACATCTTGAAACCGTTCGGAGAAGCAACTGATTTGACACAGGGGGAGAAAGTCATTACAATCAGTGCAGTTGTTCCATCCGTCTTGTCCCTCAATCACCATCTTGAGAAGCTGAAGCCTCAAGTTCGTTTCCTGAGCGGCCTGGTCAGAGGTCTGCAGGCATGCCTGGAAAAAAGATTTCTTGGGATCTTCATTAATGTGAAAATGGCCCAGTCTCAAGAAGGGATCACTGCCCCCTTTTCAGACACAGTCTACCTGAAAGCAGCTGCCTTGGATCCAGCCTTTTGTCTGCTGTGGATTGAGCCCCATGTGCTGGTCAACCGTGACATCAAGGCATAGGTGGCACAACGAGTTAAAGGTAAATCTTATTGACTTGCAATGCAACTTAAATGCAACGTAAAATAATTTGATCTTAATCTGATCTAGGATCTAATGTGATATTAATCTGACTTTAACAATAATAACAATTTTCAGTCTTGCACAGTATCATCAACATCATAATCAACGTTTTTGGGTTTAGATCGCGTTTATTTATAAATGTGTCGTAACCCTCCACCACCCGACACGGCCAATCAGTAAAAATGTGTCACGTTGACAAAGACAAATAGTTCACTGCTTTAGCCCACCGGTGTGTTGAAGCCACAACATTTACAATTTGAGTACGACGTTTCGCTGGTAATTGCAACCAGCATCATCGGGCAATTCGCCAGAATGGTAAGGCTCTGCTGTGTCTCCCGTTCTTATATAGAGCAGCAGCAGGGTGACGTCATCATTAACTCATTAACTCATCAGGTGCAAAGATTCAAGGGGGGAGTGATTGTAATTATATACTAGATTAGTAATCAGGCTATTGTTACGATGCGAGTTGTAGATTAGTAATCATTTGGAATGTGTTTTATTGTGATTATGCTACATTAGTAATCAGTTAGTGGTTGTTACCCTTATAAGTAATTGTAAT